AAATAATAAAAATTATTAAAATTATTTCAATGTATAGATTTGTTAAATAAAAGTTATAATAATAATAATATAGTAATAATTATTTTTTTATTAAGTACAAAAATTATTTAATAATTAATTTAACTTAAAATTTAGTTGAATTTTACTAAAAAACATAAATTTTATATTAAAAGTAAAAGTTTTTGTTTAACTAATATAAAGCAATAACAAATAAAAATTAATAAAATGTTATAAAAGAAAAAAAATAACAAAAAAAAAATCTTTAATAAAAAAAAAAATCATTTATTAACAATAAAAAGAAGAGCTACACTAGTTGAAATCTGATTATTTGGCAGTATGCCACTTATCAATTATTCAGCATGCGATAAATAATTCGTCAAGCATTTGTCAATAATTTGGCAATGATTGCCAAATTGTTAATGAATACTTGACAAATTATTTATCATATGCCAAATAATTGACAAGTGGTATACTGCCAAATAATCAGATTTCAACTAGTGTTAAAAAAAGATAAAAAATAGAATATATTTTCACTAGTAATAATTTGTATACAGAGTCTTGCTTTAAGAAAAATATTATTGCCTATAAATCTTTTTTTTTTTTAGTTTCATATTATTACTATATACAAAAACTGGTTTGTTCACATTTTCATAAACAAGAATGTTTCTTAAATAGTTCAGGCAATTATTTAATAGAATGTCAGTACACCTTAAACTTAATTTGTTGCAGGCTCTATCAGATATTCTGGCAAAGTGGGAGACTTGGAAAAGAATTTTTTTTTGTTACTATATTTAATTATATTAATATACTAACATTAACATATATGATTTTATTATTTTATTTTATTATAGTCATTGCAATATTTAATCTTGTTGTTATACAGAATCGTTCTCATTACAATGAATGTTGATAATAAATATCATTGACCTCAGAAACTCATTAATTGTAATAAAATAATCACCAATAGGTTAGTGCACAGAGGCAAATAAAATTATAAAATAAAAACGAATCAAATCATATATATTCGGTATCCTGGATCTCTGAAATCAAAATAAAGTATTACAAAATTTTTTACTCTTTTAACATAAGGCAAACCTGGAAGCACTTCTTCGGTGATGCATGTTTATACCCTAGTTCACTTTTTTTTCAGATAGAATTAAGTTCGGCAATAGAGATTTCACACTTTCATCAAAATAGAAATGGATTACACATACCCTAAAGGCGGAAACCAACAATCCCTTGTAGCGTTGTCATCGTAGTCATACTCTTGAAGATTGAATTCACCATAAGACATTGTTAACATTCTTCATATAATTAATAGTGTGTCGCCTTTACAAACTCGTTTATTAAGTAAATAAAATTTCGTTTAGTTATTATTCTAGCCAAGTTGTCTCAAGGCTTGATCCGCGTTGGTTTTAGGTTACATACCGATATGTTGTACCACGGTTTTAGTGCGTATTTACATGTCAATATGATCACTTGTGTCGCATATCACACTCTGTCAATATCAATGATATAGTAGTTAATTAATTGTTTTTTTTTCAATATGTATTTACCGTCATTATGCATCCATTTAATTCTAATCCACCTGAAAGTCGATATAAAGACTTTACATTCTTGTCTTCTCGTTGATCGTCTTTGGTGTAGTGAAACCGTAAGAATCCTATGGCGTCAACCATTCAGACATCTATATATTAGTATTTTTTTAACTGAGAAAAGTAGCTCGCGGGCCGAAAATCTAATCCTTACATATTTATCGTGTATATTTTACCAATATAATGAGGAATTGATGAAACACTCCGTCATTCCAAAACCTGTGAAAAATCCTATGTTTAACTATGTTCAATTCTTGAAGAACTTGGATTTACTCGAATTCTTAGTCGTCATTCAATATTGCGCTGATACTCTTACCCTCGAAGATTATAGACCTGCTATATCTTATATTTTACTAGATAATCCATTATCTAAACCCGTCAGAACTTTAGCAGATGGGCAAATTGACAATGACCTATTAAATATTATGATCAAAATAATAACGGACCACTCAACAGGACTTTATAGATTATTGTTAGACGCCGAAGAAATTATTAAAGATAATTTGATAATTAACACTCATAATCACCGCATCATGAAAATTGTTAACTCAAAAGGTCTTTTGTCTCAACTTACCGAACTCATTATGCCAACAAGAACCTTCAGTAAAACAAAAATATTATTGGCATTAATTCCAGTTTCGAGGAACCTGAAGAAAATAGTAGTAAGAGTGGGTTATAAATATCAATTTTTGAATATTCTTAACAGAAGACGTTATGTTATTAAGCAAGAAGTAAAGGCTCTGGCCGATTTGATCAAGGCACAAGAAAATTTGGAGCATCTTGGGTTGCTTAATTGTACCGAAGAGTTAGATTGTTTGTTGATGTCAATTGAGAGTCAAGCTGACACTTTAAAGTATTTATCATTTGAGAAAGTTCATTTTCACGGCTTTGACATGTTTAAACACATAGCTACTTTGAGAAATTTAGAACAAATTCGATTTATTTATTGCACATTTAAACTAAAAGATGATTATAGACCTTATCGTTTTGAGAATAATTTTCCAAAACTAGTGAAACTAGAAATATATGAGTCTATAAATGCAGGCTATGCGGTCGATATTTTAAGGTCTGCCGCCTGTGGTTCTCTCAACGTTGAGAGCGAGCCTCGTAACTCAATTTTTGCCCTAGAATATTGATAAGTATATGGAAATTTCTTGATATAGTTAATCTCATAACTTCTGGTACATAAAATAGGTTTTTTTATTTATAAAAAAAACTGGTTTATGTGAGGTTACCAATATTTGAGATAGAATATTGATTTTTACTTTTACATAACTCTAGAAATGCCAAGTTTGAAACTTTGACTAATTTTAAATGCGGCAGCTGTAGTTTTTGATTCTTAATACATTTTATTGTATAGAAGTATAAAATTCTTTAACCATTTATTGTTAGCTTATGCATTTGTCTTTTGATTGTCAGAGTTCCAATCATGCTCTTGAACAGTGTATCTTTGAACAAGCATTATGCACATGCAAAAGGATAACTTTGACGTTAGATCAGCGACAACAGTTAGCTGATATACACTACATACAGTATATGAAACTGATGTACTGATATCATTAACTTATTGCTTTATCGATATTACTAAAGCGCAATTTTATTAAAGGTAGCATTAAGACTATTAATGTAATAGAAAAATAAATTTACGTCAATTCTAAAAAGTTGTGTAAATATTATCTAAAGGACTAGATAAAAATAAGCTAAAAAAATTAGATATACTTATATGTGAGTGACTTTTCCAACTATCTACAATTTTCGGCACAGTTAATATTAAAGAGATGCTGTTCAATAATACTCAATATTTTGTCTTACATATACATGCTACAATTTGACTTGAAAATGTTTGTACAATATAACTGATTTGACCATTCTGAGAGATCATGTATGGAGTTCCTCGAATGATCCCACATGTGTCCAGAAATCATCGTGATAATTATAATCTAAACAAACGAAGGGCCGTTAAATAATATCTAAATAACGCTTGAATCATTGAAAATGGATCTTTACCAGTGACATAGCAGCCCGAAATTTTATTTTTAATATACTACTGAACATTGGATGCAACAACCTGGTAGTAGCTAATGCCACGAGTATGAAAAATATTGTTAAAAATATACTAAATAATTCAAAGGGAACATTGGTTCCCAGGTGACTGGATAAATAGGAGGCCAACTCTTCCGCGGAAAGCCACTATATAAATATGGGATACTGCTTAAGAATTAATGAATTAAAAATGAGTTAATAAGAAAATCTAACTACCATTTATTGAAATTATATTACCAGGCACTAAAACAGCTTTGACGTAAGAATACTGTCAGAGCCTTGGTTAAATTGAGCTACTGTATTTCAAAGTTGAAATCTGATGCGATCAATTCGCCTATTGACCGTGTTCCTCAAAATAAAAGTTAATAAACTTAATAAACTATAAACTATATGTAATACGTTTGATCACGTCAGTAATATTCATGGAAAATATCAACTTAATATAAAGCATGGACATAAGAACGTGTCTTATCTGCTAGTTATCAATAAAACTTGAGTATATTTATCCTATTTATTGTAAAAAAAAAAATGAATTAAAAAATTATAAATTATAAAAAATATCCATTGTTTAAAACTAAAATTTTTTAAAAAATATTCTTATATAATATTTATATAATTAAATCACTAAAATTTAATATTTAACATAATATGATTTCTAATTAATTTTGATACAAGCGTTTTTGAACAATAAATAAACACATAATTTTAAAAGGTTTTGTATTTGTTATTTATAAAGTGTTTTTTGTTTTATTGTATTTGTTGGCTATGCTTATTTTTTAACAATAACAATATTAATACAAAAAATTTCAATATAATAAACTTAAAATTTGCAATATAATAAATTTAAAATTTACAATAAATAAAAATTTATACTTTTTAAAGCTATTAATAGTAACAGTTAATAAAAAATATCAATTTGATTAATATAAAAAACATGTATAATATATGGATTAATATAAAATAACTTTATATTCAAAAGACACTTAATATATAGTTTAAATGTTAATTATAAATAAAAAAATATATATTATTGTATAATTTATCTTTAAAAAATCCAATTTTGAAATAAAAAAAGTTTATATTTTTTATATCATATATAACATGTTATATTATAAAACAAAACCAAAAACAAATAAATAAACAATAATTTATTATAAAACTTAAATATAATATAAGAATATATCTTATCTACTAATAATAATACAAATTATTATAATATAAAAATTTACTACAAATAATAATACTCCATAGGTCATTAGAAGAAAATTTAAGATTCAAACCTATTTGATTACAAAAATTTATTACCTTTATGATTGATTGATCAGCTTTCAATTAATGTTATATTCAATTAATTAAAAATTAATTTTTAAATTTAGCTAGGCTATATGAAAATAAAATCTCTGGTTTTTTCAATGATCATGAGCTAAAAACTGATCAAAGTAAAGAAAGTTACATAAGAAAAGGCTTTTGATCTAACTTTTATTACAAGCTTACATCCTCTTCAAATATAGTAGACTCTATAATAAAAAGTATATTAATCTAATTAGGCAGATTCTATAATAAAAAGCATATTAATCTAATTAAGCAACTTTGAAAAAAATCATTATAAAAACATGAATATATGGATAAAGTCTATAGTAACTTTACAAAATTATGTTTTGCTTAATATTTATATCTCTAAATTTGATAGCTTAAGTTAACTAAGAATCTATAAAGTGTTCATTGAAAGATTTAAAAGTTATGTTTCACTTGATCTAATAGTCTTTAAATTTAATAATGTGTATTAACTATAGAAACAACTCTTTAAGTATTTATTAGAAAATATAAAGAAAGTAAAACTATAGATAAGTATAAATGTAATAAAAAATCTAGTAACAATTAATATGTTAAAATTAAGATTAGACCTTACTAAACATAAATCAGAATATAGATATACTCATAAAGTATAAATTAATATTTTAATAAAAATGATAAATAGCATTAATTAATATTAGTATTAGTTAATAAATTGTTCATATGTAGATATTTGTAATCTTTATTGATTCAATAAAATCTATACATATATCATACTTTAGCTCTTTAAAAAAATTAATATAATTAATTGTATCAATAGTATATAAATAATATATAAGTAATATACTGTATAAATATCATAAGAATATTGTATATATAAAATAAAAAAATAATTTTAAGTTTTTTATTTAAAAAAAAGTTTTTAATCTATTATTTATAATAAAAAATTAATTTATATCTTAAAATTTTAATATAAAATTTTGTTTTTTTTTTATGTTAAAATAAGATGTGTCTTATAATCTTTATTAATATCATATTTCTATTTCTTTTTAATACTATTATCTAATCTAATACTAATTATATAATTATTATTATTTTAAATTTAATATTGATTTCAATTTATTTTTTTTTTTAATTTTTGAAATCAATTATTAATTATTTAACTAGAATTATTTTTACATTCTTTCTTATAATATTTATAAAATATAATATACAAAATAAAACAATTATTAATATATATAGTTTAATGCAATTTATATTCCTATGGGAACTTAGTGTACTGGTATAAGGACTAGTACCTCTGTAAGGAGGTTGTGAGTTCAATATCATGTGATGGCAGTACATGCCTGTTGAACCAATTCACAGGAGTCATTGTGGTAAGCGTCAATTGCCTGACTACCATGATATCATCATTTATAAGGGCCAGTATAAAATATAGACAAGAAACTTGTTGTTAGATAGTCCCTAACCAGTGACAACCTGGATTCAGATCTATCATAAAAACATGAGGAACTGTCTCCCATAGGAGACCCAGGGTGTTGAAAAAAATTATGGGGTCAAATCTCATAGTAATACTGACATCTTAGAAGTGGGGCTGATATGATCATTCTGGTAAGCGTTAGTTGCCTAACTACCAGGCATATCAGAGG